TCTCTCAGATGTTAATGTGATGGGTGGGTTTTATCATTTATTTTGTTTGATAACCAGAGCTTTCTGTGCTTCTGGATCACACACAACAGAAGCAGGATTGTAATTTTTCTCTCCGATTCTGCAGCCGGCAAACATACACATCATAATTAGGCCAGAGAGGCATCCACATGCCGATCTGTTTACTTTCAGTTCAGCAGATTATAGTTATTATGTTAAAGAAAGTATTTTTGCAGAGGATGTTACTGCAGGAGCAGCTGATATATGGACTCAAACATGCAAGGTGCAAAGAGTTTAACTTTTATTAGTTTTTTATGGTTTATGGCAACAACAATCCCTTTGATCATCTGAAAACTTTCATTAAAACTAGGATTATTGTGTTGAAGTATGTTCTAATAGTATATTGGGTAAATGTGAAATACGTCAAGTATTTACATAAATATGAGGGTCAGAATGTTCTGTTGTCTTTTTGGGTTTTATAAAGTGAGTTAATTATGGTCACAGACCGACATGGCACAGTTCATGCTAAACTTTAAACAACTATGGAGGGTTAAGGGGGACAAAATTAAATAAATAAAAAAAAAACATTAAATAGATAGGTGTAAATTAAGAATGACATAAATAAATGTATGTATTTCATACATCATTGAATAATGAAATACAGTATACCATTAAAGTAGGAAATGTCAAATAAAATAAATTAATCTGACATTGAATACTAAAACATTTATTTTAGATGATGACATTAGTAATAGTCATTTTTGGAAAATGAATTCTTTTACATTTCATTATTTTTCTTTGTAGTTAAACTGTCAGTTTTAACCATCAGACTCCAATGGACGGGTCTTCCATAGAAACACTGACATCTGATTGGCTGATGCTACCTTAGTAAGATAAGACAACTTCTACCTCTTTTACTCTAAAGTCAATATTTTCACATAAAAGTTGTAAATAATTTAAAAAATGTGTTACTATTTACACATTTTGAGTGAGAAACTCCAGCCTCTATATCCCTATTTAGGTCTCTAATGTGAGAACATGAGCCAGTGTTAGTCAGTCAGATCAAATAATGGATATAGAGGCTGGAATTACTTACCCATTATGCTGCAAATAAGTTTTGAGAGGTGTATTGAGTTACTTTTATCTTTTCAATGTTAATATTGATTTTATAGTAAAATATTTCCAGGATGAAGTTGTTTTATTTTGCTCGGTGAGAAGCAGACAATCAAACGTGAGCGTTTCTATGGCGGCAACCCTGGTCCCGCCTCCTGGACTTTGATGGATGTGTGATTTTGATAATCACTTCTTAAAATAAAATCTATATATTTAATTGAGGCTTATATAGTTAATTATGTATTAATTAAATCCATTCTTTATATATTTTGTTATATTTGTATATATGTTTATAGTTTCTATATAGTTTGTGGATGTGCTTAGATTGCTCAACCCATTTCTGGTCTGAGCTGAAACCTGTCTTCCTGACCACCCGAACCATTTCCCCTCTTCTGAGGGTAACAGTTGGGTTAAGATTGTCGAAAAGCTGGACATAGGATGACGTTCTAGCAGAACACTGATGCCAGAATGTGTTGCATTGTGCAGGGTGAGTAGAAAAGAGATCATGGAGGCCCAGCCTCACTTCTTTCAACTCAAATCAGCAGCTGCTTGGTTGGAACCTAAACACAGTTGGTGTTTTTAATGGGAAAATGATCCCAAACATGTAATAACTCCTAGATGAGGAATTTAGGAAAATTATCTACTGAAAAGACCTTCCTAAATACCCAACCTTAACTCTTTCATATCCATAAAGTACCAGGGTAGTTGGTTTATTCAAGAAAATAAACTATTTTGGCTAAATTCTGCTGTTTGTAATTACAGGCACACCGATGCCAGGAGCTATTTAATGGTCACAAAAGGTTTTAGTAACTTTAGTTTATATTAGGGCAGCATGATATCAGGAAAACCCAAACTTTTTTTCTGTCCCAGCATACAAATGCCCGTACAATCTAATGTGATCTTTATTAATAAAGAAATATACATATAGTGTGCGAGTAAAGGACAGTTTAGACCCGGCATCCAAAAAGTCGCTCCTCAAGGGCCGCTGTCCTGCAGGTTTTAGAGGTTTCCTGCTCCAGCACAGCTGATTTACATTGATAGTTGATTAACAGGCTTTTGCTGAACTTTAATCATCAGAATCAGCGGTGCTAAAGCAGAGAAACCTCTAAAACCTGCAGGACAATGGCCCTCGAGTTCCGATTTTGAGGATGCCTGGTTTAGACCCTCCAATCGGGCAAGTTTAGTACATTATTAAAGAACAGAGTTTGAATGCTAAAATGTAATAACCAACATCTGGGATTACAAAACTGAAAATAGCGATATTACAAAAACTGTTGTGATTTGACATATTGTGCACTTTTAATATGTGTAATATAAATTCCTGTGCGATGATGCAAACCTGAAGTACAGACGTTTTAGAGCCAGCAGTAGAACCAGTAATGTCTGGGTGAGGAGCCTCTTTCTGAGCACAGAGAGAGGAGAGAGACTTCCAAACATGCTGACAGCTTGTTGAGGACCTCCTACGACTGTTATGACTTTCAGTCCTCGGTTGTGTGTGGTCCCTCCACCACACTGATAAGCACTCATTCAGTTTAACAGGAGTGTGTGTGAGGGTGTGTATCGGCTGGCATTGTGTGTATATGCTGAGGTCTGTTGATGCTTCAGCGTTAGTCAATAACGATAATGATGAAATAGTTCAATTTTCTTCAGCTTGTGTGTCCTGATAAACACAAAATAAAAAAAAAAACAGCTGTGGAATGTAACCTGTAGTATCCTGTTCCTTTCATTAGTTTCACATTGTGTCATATTTTGAGTTGTGATACTTAACATGAGGGCTAGAACACAAAGAGGAATGGTACCGTTTTTATGTTGCACCTCTTGACAGACATGCATCATATCTCCTGAAACCTTGTTTGTCATTTTTGTGATATTTTGCTTTACATTCAGAAAAATAATTGTTCTTCAATGTAAAGTGGAGGAGGAAAGGATGACTTCAGTGTATTTTAACAAAACTAATACAAATATAAAAAACGTGGCATACATTGATATTTATCCCTCTTCTTACCATTGATCATGGAATAGTTTAAGCAGGAATACTAAAAAAAAGCGAGAGTTCATTGGTCCCTTTGGAGGAGCTGCAGAGGTCAGTGGCTCATGCTCTGCTCCTCATGTCAAACATTTGGCCTGCTAATTTACTAATTAGCCCTTAAGAGTCTAAAAAGGCTTGGAATAGGTCATGTCAAGCTAAGTCATTCAAAGTTTGGAAATGATCATATGTGTTTATTACAGAACAATTTTTTTTATTTTGTATTTATCAATGTTTGTGATTTTACATGTATATGTTCATACATCCAAATATTATGGTTGAATGTAAGAATTTTATCAAACATGTTCCTTGCAGCTGACGATGATTTAATCATCATTCTGTCTTTATCAAATGTCACCTAAAATAATTTATACCTGAATTTTATATTTCAGTTTTTTTTTACTTTTTGAGAAGATTCTTCTTTAATTAATAGTTAATAGTTTGTTTTCTAACCTGAAATATGAAAAAATATTATATCAGAGTTTCATTCATACAGCTTTAAACAGCTGTTTTAAAGACTTGATGTTGCCTGATATAAAAATGATTTTAATAGCACTGATCTACTTTATAAATCTGGTCTTTATGAAAGAGTTTCCTGAAGTACAGACAAACAAAAACCCTTTTTAAAGTTCATCCACATCTTTAAAAATGCCCTTCGCTCTGATGAGGCTATAGCAGAACTCTTTGGCAGACGAGTAAAATGCTAAAGGTGGAGGAAATTAATTAAGCCATTCCTACTTTTGAAACATGGTGGTGGGAGCATCATGCTGCGGGGATGCTTTCTTGTGCCTTCATAGTTCTGGAAAAGGCGATTTGTTTTAGATGTTTAAATCTTTTCTTTTCTCATTCTTGGATAAATTCAGCTCTGTCACTGTATGTAAACCCGTCATTATATATTTGCATTTTTAACCCCTACATGAACTTGTCGGCATAGTATCCTTTTTAATACAGTTTCATATATTTCAATAAAACATCTGCATGTCTCCTACTTTTGAAACTAGCTTTCAATAAGTTAGAGATCAGAATATGTGTGAAGAAGTCTGAGAAATCTTATCTTCCTTTAAGTGTGTCCTCAGTTTAACAGCATTAACAGGCCCAGCTTTGGGAGGTTCCATCCTCACTAAAACCTAAAATGCAATAAAATAAGAAAAAACTCCGGGGCTGACGGCTTCATCCACATTCGCACACAGGCTGCAGTCGTGTATCTTTGGGCCTTGTCATCACATGCTTCAATTGAGCTTTAAATGTCACTTGTCTCCCTGCGCTTCATCTGCTTGACTCATCCTTGTTGTCTTCAGTGTGCATCTGAAGTGCTTGTGTGCTTTTGTGCATCAGACCAACATGCGCCGGTGTGTAAGCATTTGACGGACACACTGCTGTTCTCCACCCTTTATCTGCTCGGCGCCTGAAAGCACAATGATGCCCTCTGCATTGATTTTCTTTTGCCATTTTATAATTATGTCTCCTCCTTTCATTTGCCTCCCCTCTTTCCCCTCATTCTCCCTTTCATCCCGTCTGTCTTATCTCTCCGCTCCCACTTCTGTTTTTCTAATTCCATCCTCCCCCAGATCCATTTTTATGCCTCGCTGTCTGCACTTGTTATCTTAGCCATTTTCCCTTTTTTATTTTCTCCCCTGTTTGATCTCAACTTCTTAATTTCTGTCCGGTTTACGTCACTTAGTTGTGTTTCGCTTTCCCCCCGCCCCTTCCACCTCTTCCTGTCATCTTGGTCCCATTTCCTCCAGTGTTTGTCAACCTCTGTCTCCTCCCAGCTGGAGCTTGTTTCCTTTCCATTTCACGCTGACCTGTCCTATTTCTAATATTCTGTTTCTTAACATTTTCCATCTGTTCTGTTTCTCCACAGCCTCTCTGGAGTGCACGCCGTCTTCCCCGTAGATTGATGGAAAAGGCCTACCCGGTCACGGAACGATGAGGACGCACACCGCGCCTCCCCTCCCATCCATCTAGAGCTTCATTCTGGAGCAATCAAAGTTCCTCGTCTTGCTCTTCAGGTGTCTGTCCATTATTTTTCCCTCCAAAAAGACTGATCTTTGGAAAAAAAAAGACCTTTCCCTCCCACCACCCACTCCTGAAAATCTCCCAAAGCTTCCGTCAAAAAGCTTCCTCTTAGTGGAACCGTCCTCAGACTTTAAGTGCTACAACTTCTTTCAAGCATGACTGAGATTCACACAGACTGTAGTGATTTGCACATTTGTTTTAAGAATATGACCAATATGAAGGAAGTTTTTGCACCATTTCCTCCGTAGTTGCACAATAATTCCAGTGTCTCTTCCAGTAACACGTCTCCGTGGCATGGTAGCCTCTCCAGTCCAGCACTTTTCTCCCATGCATCCTCCTCTGCTGAACAAGCTCCTGCTTCCACTGAAGACATTCTGCAAGCCAGAAGGAGAAAAAACCCAAAAAAGGCTGCTGACAGGACTGCACACCTCCCGCTGCCCTTCTTTTTTCCTTTATTTTCAAACTGCGTTCTTGGAAACACAAGAGAGTGACACATTTTACACGCCCGTCTGTGTTTGTGCTTTGTTCTCTCTCATTCTGTGAAACGGCCTGTCAAAAAGTGTTAGATGACGAGTAGTGAAGTATCCATATCTCTCTATGCTTTATGCCGTGTCTATGTTGTGAACTAGCCTTTGCAGGGCGAACGATGGACCTGGAGGAACACAAGTTGTGAAAAAAACTGAACCTGGCTTAGTATCAGGCAGAGGTCACTGGAAAAACCAAAACAATTCAAGGGAGATGCTAACAGGAAATCCCACGATTGTCTCTAAAAGCACGGTGCTTGGATTTAGGATTTGAAATTAATTTGGCAACCCAATGGGTGGGGGGGGCAGGATGTCAGGAAGAAAAAAGGAGACGGGTCCCTGGGACCGAGGAAATGTTTTGACTTGAGATTCTTCACTTTAATGAGGAGAGGAAAAGAAGAAAAGACGTTACAGATGACAAATGAGGAGACCCTTTTTTTCATTTCCTCTCTCTCGCATTGCTTTGTCTGCTTTTCCATCTCAGTGCTTGAAACTATTTTTAGAAAAGTTATATTCAAGAACTGTAGACGTGCTGTTAGCCGAAGCTCGTCAGGCTGTTACTTGTTACTCGTTACCAACCGAATCCAGCGCCTTGCAAAAGTGTTTCAACTTTCTTATGTCGCTTTAAAACCTAAAGCTTCAGGGTTTAATTTAATGGATTAACACAAAGTAGTGAAGAACTGTGAAGTGGAAGGAGCACAATCTTAACGAATACAAATCTGAAAAGTGTGTAGTGTATTTTTGCACCTGCAGACAGAATTCTTGGTTTCTTCTTTGAATAATAGTTTTAATGTCATTCCAATCAGATGGAAAGCGACTCTGAGCATCCATTTTCAAATCATTCCCCAGACTATTTTATCAGTTGTGGGTTTTAATTAGACCACTCTACTCTAATGCATATTTATGTTTGGATCTAAAGCCTTTCACTGTCGCTCTTATAGCTAAAAAAAAAAAAAAAATTAGCTTTTTAATCTTTGCTGTCATCCCTACATTGCCTGTTCAAATTGCATGATTTCCATATAGGTCTGATTTGTGGAGCTAACAACAAATGTTAATCTCATAAACAGATTTTTCCACATGAGCTGTAGATCTCTGCAGTTCCTCCAGAGTCAATATATTCCTCTTGACTGCTGTCCTGAATTATACTCTAATTTTAGGGGATTACATTATTTTCTGTAAAATGCTCAAACGGGTTTATGCAGGACTCATCGGATATGTTCCTTAGTCTTCATGACGGTTCTTGTTGAGAAACCTCTCAGTCAGGCTTTTCAACAACAGTTCAGTTTAATCTCCAATTGTACAATTATGTATAGATTATATAATCTGAGTTGGGCTCTCCTCATTTTACTGATGAGGAGCTTTCCAAAGGATAATTGCATCACATGAAAATGCATGGACTTTTCCAGACTTTTATTTGCAAAATATGCTAAAGACTCTATAATATTCTTCCACTTGACAATTTAGTGCAACTTTGTTTTAGTCCATAGCCAAAAATCCAGAAAAATTCCTCTGAAGTTTAATACCAAAAGCGTAAAGTGAAAACTTTTGCAAGGCTGTGCATCATTTCAATGTAATGAGCCACTTAAACCTCAGCTATAAATGTGAACTATGGCCACTCACTGTTGATATTATAGGCATTTAATCTGCATATAGAAGCACACGTGTCTGTAATGAAGCAAAACTGTTAACATCTCTGCTACTAAATGTGTCACAGTGTAAATAAGACCTGTAGCCTCCAGTATAATGAGCCTTCAATGTCAGCTACCAGTTTCTATATCAGAGGGATATTTAGCAAAAGCTTTTATCCATGCTGATGTAGCATGAGTTGGTTTTTCTTTAAATCCTGGATGGGAGCATGTTGCTGTTGCAGTCTAAGGGAAGAAGCAGAGGTCACAGTTGGCCCCCGGGAGATCCCGCTTTTTAATGGGATTTCATTTGTCGCACAGGTCCCTGTGCGTCCGCCCATTCATTGTTGGGAAAGCAGCCGTGGCCTTCCGAGGCAAAGAGCTGCCTACAGATTGGATGGTATCGATCAGTTCTCCTGGACGCGTACAGTCGGACCGATGGGGATTACAGAATCCTCCAGGAGTGCAACGTCCGCGTGAATGCAAGCGTGTGTTGGAGAAATGGAGTTTTGTCGGGCAGAAACACAGGCGGTTATTTCACAGCTGGGGGGAGATGTCGTGTTGGTGTGTTTCAAGGCCACAGCAGGAAGGAAAGGGATGAAGCTCAAATTGGAATTTCACCACCGGCTGATTTCAAGCTGTAGAGTAGAAAACAAAGATTGATGGGGGAAATCTCGCTGTAGAGTGAGAGCTGATCCAATTCCTCTAATTATTACCAGTTTAAAGTGGCAATCTCAACTGCAGCATCATTGCTTCCTCTATTGCTTTGTTCATGGAGAAAAAAATCACAGCAAATATCATCTTATGGTAGTTTACATGAAAAGTGATCTGGTTCATGCAGCTTAATCCAATCAGATTATCTGATTAGATGCATTTAATTGTAGCCAGTTTAATCCAGTTACCATAGAATACAATAAAATTCAGTCAATGCCAACTGGTTATCTACTGTAGGCAGCCCGGCTGATTGCATCAAGTCATTGTCTTTGCAGTAGTCCCTCATCCTTTGTAACCATGGTGACAGTGTGACCTTCTCAACCCAAGATCAGAAACCAAAAACAAGGCAGAGATAGAATGGAAAAGAAAATCCATAAAAATCAACCATGTTCCATGAGAAAAAAGTCAATTTTTCCAATTGGAGAATTTCCACTTTTCATCAAAACTTGCACTCAGCAGTTAAGTGCAAGATTATTAATTTGCTTGCACCAGACGATGCACCAGATTGGTGAAGGACCAAAATAACCTAAAATCATAAAGAGACTCAATAAATACAGCTGAACTTAAACTGCATTTCTGGTTTGACCTCAGGTGGGGAAGAAGGGAATTTTGGACTTGGGCAGAATCTACAGTAATGAAGGATTTGTTGAACATTATTTTTATATGATATCAGTTGCATTGTGAGAGACTGAAGCAAAGAAACTTTAAAAAAATCGTAGATGTGGACTGGAACCACATCTATGAGGATTACTGAGTGCTGAGCACAGCATAGATACGATACAGTAAAAGGTAGTTTCCCTGCAAGTTTCTGAAAATCTAAAATATTTTAGAAGTGCAAAGATGAGGCAAACCTAAGTAAAACTGTAATGCAGTTTTATGAATGATTATTTAGGTTTTTTAGCAAAAAAATCAACACAAACCAGCCAGGCTCTTAGTAAAGATATGGTCTTATAGTCTCCTGTAGGGATCTGTCTTACAGTGGGTATAGAAAAGCATCTTACTGAAAAGGGTCTCTGTGTAAAGACCCTTAACCCCTGATAGCTCCCTGGGCGCCCCACGATGGCAGCCCACTGCTCCTCAAGGGGGATGGGTTAAATACTGAGGTAAATCTCTCCAATGTGAGATCAATAATGTTCAATTATTATTATTATAAATCCTCCAGATCATTGAGCTTCAACGTGGTCCCATAGCATGACCCAACTTCCACCATGTTTGACTGGTAGCATTTCCGTTATTTATTCATTATGTATTGCCTTGTTAGTGGTAACAAAACACTGATGTTTTGTGGTCATCGGGGTGTTTACTGATAAGGCCTTTGAGTCGTTTTTTATCAGTGTGGTATACAACTTTGGAATGCTCCCACAGAGGCTGCTTTGGCCTTTTTTTTTATCGTTGCATTATAACCTCTGACCTTAAGTTTTAAATCTGAGGCCTATCAGCGCTTTCTTGCTATGTTCGAATTCAGCGGCTGCGTCCTCCAAGGACCAGGTCTACCTGGACTGGGTTCTTCGGAGGCCGTGAAAATAAGGAGATCAGAAGAGTCTGGCTATGGAATCGAACAGGTCCAGCTTTCCCCCCTCACCGCCCCTAACTCAGCGTAAACACTGTCACCTAGAAACCATGACAGTTGACTCACAAAGCTAACTTCTTACTGCTGTTCTTTGGGTTAATTTTAGTTGAAAAGTTTCAGCAGAAATACGTAGTTGCGAATATCAGATTCATAGTCCCCACACTGCAGAGATATTGGAATCTGAGCTTAAATTACAGCCAAACCTGTTTACACAGAGACAGATTAAACCTTTTAAACCAAATTTTACCCGCCACATATCTGACTCACTAACCATTTAAATGAACAATTAATTAAATTAAGACAAATAATTTTATTATATTAAACTGTACTTCAGATACAGTATCCACTGCTGTTCGGCGCCATTTACCTTTTTCCTTTGAGCACGGAGCAGCCGCTTACTTGGACTCGCAATGAATCATGGGATACCCAGGGCTTACGTAGGATGCACTGGTCCCATCCTTTAAAACGGGAAAAAGAAGGATGTATTTGTCAGCTGCATAACGAGGAGTTTTCTGAACCACACAGGCCTTGGTGCAATCTGACGTAATCTGCGTACGAATCTGGCCTTCGAAGGATGCAGCTTCCAGATTTGAACACAGCACATATGTAGTTCTGGGGTTTTGTTTGACTTCCTGGTTGAGTTAAAGTGCTCTTTGGGCAGCTAATTCTCTTGACTCTTCAAGCAGACGGTTTTTGTTTGCATTTACTCCAGTAATCTCTGATCGTAGGATTGTCTTAATTTGAAACATTAAGGAGTGTGACATAAAAATGATGAAAAGAATTTTGGGGCTAATACTTTTTCCCAGTATTGTACACTTATGTAATTATTAGAAGAGACAGAAATGTATTTTTTTTATCTCAATGTGTTCAGAGGAGAATGCTTCTAGACACTTCTGTTGTAAAGTAATGAAAGTGAGTAACATAAGTGAACATTTTAGCCATTTTTAGTGATGCAGGTTCAACTTAGCTGTGTTTACAAAAAGAAATTCATGTTTACAATGTATTTGCTCCTGATTACATTTATTCTTGTGCAGAACAAATGTTCTATGAACCTGATTTGTAGCCAGGATAACATTTATTTCTTCCTATGCTGCAGATTGTTTTCTTCCTCATCACTGGTAGCAAAGTATGGGTTAGCTCTTCCTCCAGAGGCACGATGGGAACTTTGCCTCAGTGTTTCTGGCTCTGACTTTCAGGTATAACCAGCTCAAGATGTAGCTGACGTGGCAAGGTGTCCAGGAACCTGCCTGAACTGGCAGAGCCCACAGTTCTAATACCCTCTGAGACATTTGGCACGTACCTGCAGACGCTGATGCGTCTTACAGGAGGGAACACCAGAACAAACCTCTTGTTGCACAATAAATGAGACACACATATGAAGAAACCGAACATGGTGTGGGATTTACATAAACAGCACAGGCGCAGCCATCGGTAAATAAAAATGCGATGGAATCACAACTCTAGCTATGATTTAACACATGTAGACAGCTACACCTTTACCACAATCTAAACAGAAAAACAAAACAATGTTTCTGCCGTGTCGATGCCATGTTTTTCCATTCTGTTATTTAAGAAAGGCATGTTAACAGCTCTACTCCCTGTTGATCTACATGTAATGTGCCTAATGATGGATATTAATGAGAGTACTGATTAGTATATTAAATAAAGTCATTAATCTTAACACATTGTGGTTACTGTGTTTATTCACACGTGACTTTGCAAACTGTGAGGAGTGTTTGCTCATAGTCTGCTCAGCATGACGCAGTTTTACAGGTAGTTTTGACAAACGAAAGGCAGAGATAACATATATGCATTTTTTTTATCTTATTAAAGTTTTAATCTCTAATATTTTTCCTATAAATGTTGAAGTAATACATTTTCATACATATATATCTTTTTGAAAATGTAAAGGATCATTCCTTAAAATGAGTCTGAAGATTGATTTGTGTATTTGCATTCAGAGGTTCCCCATTAGGTTCATACATGCTGGTTTGAACCTTCATGCAACCCTTTTGGAACTGCCTTCAAATGTCCCCTGAAGCTAAAGATGTAGTTTGTGCAGTGATGCCCAAGATGAATGAAGGAAAAGCATTTTGAACATTTTATAAACAAGAGTTAAATCCTGTTTATGTAATCTGTTGACAATTTAGAGCAGGGGTTTGCAACATGCAACCCAAGTGGCTCTTCAGACCCTGACATTGGCTCGTTTCTTTTTGGCAAAAGTGATGAGGATCCAGCCAGTCTTTGTAATATAAAAAAAACTAAGAAATTGATAGTTGCGCAGAATTTCCTAAAGAAATTGTCTCTTAATATCAGACAAATATTTATTATCTTTTTTAAATGCTTAACTGCTGCGATGGACTGGCGACCTGTCCAGGGTGTACCCTGCCTCTCGCCCATTGACTGCTGGAGATAGGCACCAGCACCCCTCGTGACTCCACTTGGGACAAGCGTGTAAAGAAAATGGATGGATGGATGGATGAAATGCTTAACTGGGGTTTAAGCAGGGGCGGAGCTAGATGCGGGCCCGGGGTGGCCTCTAATACAAATGGTGGCAGCAGTAATACTCTCAAGTGGAATATTCAAAACATTTTATTTTGTTTATGGTTAAATGTACACATCAATATACTAACATTAAAGATGATAAGTACATAATTAACGCTCTTTTCAGAACTAGATTTTGTCTTATTTTGGGTAAAGAGAAAATTATGTGTCTGCAAGTCATCTAGGAGTCTTCAGTGAAATCAAAGATAACAATTTTAATAAAAATTGATCAAATAATTAATTTATGTAGATACTGGTACTTGTAAATATCAACTGTATGCATAATGTTTTATACAAGTAGGTAAGTCAATGACAATGATGATTGATTTACGCCCAAGAACTCAAAACTGAGTTTTATCCTCTTTACCTTTTATCTAAAAATTATGAATATTTAAATATATTTTTCTATTTGTTAGCAAAGGCTGTAGGAAATTATAATTTGTCTTTATTTAGAAAATATGGATTTTTGCTAATTAATGTTGTTGGAACAGTGTAGATTGACCCTGAGGTTCTGGTGCCTATCCGCTTTCGGCCACCCCTCAGTATACAGTACATTGGTTATTGCCTGGCCACCCTTATGATAAATTTCTGTCTACGCCTCTGGATTTAAGCAGCCCATTTAAAATATATCTATTCATTTTATTATTTATTTTCACAGGTCTTCCTTCATTAAAACTTTTGAAATGGCACAATGATTAGTTAAAATATCTTGGAAGATATCTCTTTAGAAAAGGTATCGTACTGTTAGCGGTTCTAAGCAATTTTGATAAGTTGGACTGAATGTAGAAATGAATGTTTAGATTGTAAAGGTTGCAGAGCCCCCTGGTTTAGATCCACATCCCTGGGTTTAGCTGCGATCACCGCCAGCAGAGGGCGCACTACTCCGGTCAAGGGCCGCTTCATCAGAAGGCCTGGGCGCAGCTGTTACTTGGCGTTAAAAAGAGGTAAATTAAAATGCTTTGCAGCGGTCCTTAAATAATAATAATAATAATAAACGCGTGGCTATTTTAACAAGGTATTAAATAGGGGTTTCCTCCTTCTGAATGTGTCTATAAACTGCTGAGTTCGTCAACGGTTCATTAGGCTAAGCTAACTGTTAGCATTTTCCCCACCATAAATAGTATAATTTAAGACGATTTTCATTATAAAAAAATAAGTTATTAATGCTGTGTAATATTCGAACTCCCTTTGTTTTATTTTTCGTTTTTCTGAAATAAACGACAACTATGTTTGTGCTAATTCCAGCTTTGCTAAGTGTTTGATAGTCAGCATTTGTGTGCTTAGTCATTAAATTATTTTTTATTTATTTATTTTATTTTTTTTGTTGTTGAATCAACAATTCCCACTATTTTCAATGTGAAATGCCAACTATGATAAAATAAGAATGTATGTTTTAATGTTTTACTGTAATGGCGTCCATCTTGTAGGACACATGTAAATCATTATGGTTCTGAATGGTAGAAAATTATTTCAAATTTATTCGATTAAATCTCAGAGATCCTGTGAAGAGAAGCAAGAACAGCGATGTGGACCACCCAGGCACCACGCACAGGTTATCAACAGTGATTCATCGGAGGTCAGATTAAAAGGTAGACACATTAATCTACTGTATACACAGGTGGGAGTTAAGTTTGCAATTATTCCCGTCTGAATTTATGCTTCATCGGTAAAAATGATGACGGGATATTTTACTAAATCCAAGACTGGGATTGACTCAGGTTTGGTAATAATGGTGAGAGGTTTAGATGCTATAACAGATTCAGAGGAACCTGATGGAAAGGTTGATCCTCAACTGATCTTTAGTGGTTTTAATTAAAGCAGCAGAAAGCTCTGTGAGATGTGATGCCCTGTTTCTCTGCAAATATTTCAGTGATTAGGTGTCTGCCTTTGTCTTCAATGTGTTAATGGCAAGACTTGGTTTGGAATCAGCATTTTTTAAATGACAAATTCCTAAGTATTATATAAACTAGATGGATAATAGTCATTCTAAAATGTCCAGTCCTTAAGAGTTACTATCCAGTAACTTTTAAATAAATCTCTACAACAACCTGAATCAAAAAGATGGATTCTCTCATCATCTCTCATCAGCAGTCATTCAGCTCTGCTCAGGCCTCATAATGAGCTATTCGTTTCTTCCAGTGGGTCGAATAAGGGATAAACCTAAAAGGTGCGGGACAGTATCTCTTACAGCCTAGAATGGAAACCCATTTTTTTTACTGAGTGTTATAATGCTTTGATTTTATTTATTCATTTATTTTTAGGGGTCAGGCACATTGCATTTAGACTGAGTTGTTATAAATTTCTGTTAAGATGTGGTTAAACATTAAGTGTATTCTATTTTAAAGTATGAAAATAATTTTACTATTGATAGATGAAACAAATGAAGCAATAAATAAAAAAAAGGTTAGTTACAGTACAGGCTTTAAAGCCAACATATTTCCTTCAGAAGGTCAAGAATACAATCAATTATCTGTCTAGAGCATAAAACAAAGTATTATGGGGGTTATAAACCTTGACTTGGTTTGAAAGGGTTCTTTTTGTGTTAGAAAATTATGTTTAAAGATTGCTTTTGGCAGTGATTAAAGTTTTCTGACAGTAAAAATGACCTCTAATGTGGTTTTCTTCCCATCCTGAGTTGACTGTTTTTGTCAAGGTAAGAAACTAGTTTTGTGTTTGGTAAAATGTGCTTAATCTATCTACCGGTAATAAAGTTTCATTATGAGCAGCAGATTTTGGCCATAGTGTGACTTACTCCTATGGTTTAAACTCACACATGATCTGAATGATTGCAGTGTTTAAATGAATTGTTTTTTTTAGCATGCACCTCTAGTAAAAATTTCCATAATATCTGATTATAACTTTTCAAGTAATGCTGCGTACAACCCAAATAACTAACATGTGCCTGCAGCCTCTGGTGTCTGCTCTGCTCTCACTGTCTTCCTTCTTTCTGCCTCTTTGTATCAGCACATCTAGACTTTTTTTCTTTTGTTTTTGTAGTTTTTGTCTTTAGTATAATACTTCCACACATTTTGAGTCCCATGCTGATGAAGTCAATAGTCACTGCTGCCCCCTCCGGTTTAGAGGAGAACTGCTTCTTCCACCAAATATACACAACAATGAATCGTTTCAAAAATTCCCGTATCTGGATTATGACCTCTAGATCATCAGAAAAATATAATGGATTGGTCCTTGGCATGAGGGACACCTCCGTTAAAAATGTCATTAAAATTCATAACTTTTCCAGGCATCCTGCTAACAGACAGCTGAAAACATAACCTCACGGATGGAGGTAGAGAATGATTCAGATTAAGAGAACAACATCAATATTAACAAACAAATCAGCCAAGATGCTGCAAAGACAGGATCTTTTAAAGAAGCAGACCTGTTGTAGGATGTTGGGATCCAGGCCATGTTGCTCAGGAGAGGCTGGGTGATGTATGAGGGGTGGGGGGGATTAGTTGGAAACCAGGCATGAGGGATGAAGTGAAAAAGAGAGATGACAGAAAATCGCTTCCAGTCGGTCCCTCACCGGCCTCTGCTGAGACTTGAAGTAAACCCTTTCAGCACTCGGAGCTTTTTGGTCTCAATCATACGAGATTCCCAAAGTTTTTTTGTTTTTTTTTATCGTCTCCATGTTTGTTTTGTCCCTGTCAGATTTTACTGCTCTTATTCTATCCTTCACTCCTTCTCTATGTTCCCAGATCTGGGAATACAAACCAAACATGTTCTCATCCCGTTTCCCTCTCACCATTTCAGCCTTTTTATATATTTTTATATTGTTTCATATGTAGCCTCCCTCCTCCTCTGCTGTCACATCCGACGCTCTGGATTCAAGTCTTCCTGCGCCGTGTGTTTCTGTGGAACGCAAACAGGCGACTGCATGAATTAAACATCTAAGGCAGTGCACACGCAGCGCCCCTTTAAGTGTTGGCATGAGCACTGGTTTGGGCTCTGACCACACACCAGGACTGTTTGTCTTTGTGAAGGCATGTTTGGTTCCGGGCACTTTAGGCCGAGCAGCAGGAGTTCTCCCATCTCCTTATCGTCAAAGGCAGGGGAACCCTTTGACAAGCCAACCTCTGGATCTCTGCTCTCTTCAAG